AAAGTGAAAAAGAGTTGAAGGCAAAATGTCAAAAAAGAAGGGGAGAAGGTAGAATATGTAGGGAGGTAAAGTGAGACACGGATGGAGCAGAATGTGGATGGGTGGGTGTATACAGGGGGAGGGGTGCAACTGTGTCTCAGTGTGATCTCCTCACACTTGAAAAATCTCAAAATAAAACTTTGAAGGGTGTAGTGTGAAAATATAGTTCTACAATTAGATAAAGTAAAAATGTTAATATCTTAAAGAAAGTTTCTAATTTTGTGAAAAGGTTTAGACAGAGTTGCATGATCTGATGCATGGAAACAACAATGTTCAAGTCACAATCCATGAAATAGATTTTTTTTTAAATAATGTCTCATTGTTAATGTAGTTCTACTCTCAACAATACACCTGGACCGTCATGGTGTATATGCAGTGTCTATTTGCAGATGTAAGTTGTTGGAAAATGATTATCCCTTGAATGAAAGCCAACATACTTGACACATGTGTTTGTCCTGAAATAATTTGAATAATTTCACTTTGAACATACAGTAGCAGTTCCTTCAGCTGGCTGTGATGAGGTTCTCTGTCTCTTAGATGTCTCACTGCAGAGGCTCATAATGAGCACGAAACGCAAGGATTTTTTCCCTCTTTCTTTAAAACAACACTTCAAAAGTGAGCAGCAGTCTGTGAGGCTCGGATGCACATGATTTAGCAGATTTTTCTGTCTTGTGAATTTAAAAATACACATCAGTATGCAGATTGTACACAGACTGACTTCTGCAGCCTTCATCTGCAATCTGGAAAAAAATAATCATCTTCTCATTTCTTCTTTAATATTTCTGTGTTATTGCACTGATATCAAATTTAATCAAACACACAGGAATCTTTGCAACAAAAAAGCAACCTATATATCATCATATTTAAGGTTTTATTTTCCACTCAACTGCTATTGCATGAAGCTCACATCCTTATTCACTGTTTTAAAAATGTCTCATGCCAGAGCTTGTTAACCTTTTTGACCTTGAGGGTCCAATTTTTATAGTACAAAGTCTTCTTCTTCTGTGCATATTGGAGCTTTTTAAAGACCTGACTGATGTGTTACCGCCACCATGTGGTCTAAAGCTAAATAACTGAGCTTGTCATGGGTAACATGTCTGCAGTGGCTTCAGTGGCCCACTGGGGCAAAACAGATTTTTTTTCCCTTGATTCTAGGTAGCACTGGTGGCCACGGCCCTAAGGTTGAGAATCACTGTCTTATGTCACTTTATTCTGCTACCCTAAAAAAGCTAAATAAATCATTTAGCTACATTTATCAACTGTTATTAGAATGAACCTTCTGTTAGCTGGTGTCGTCCACATCCGCTCAATATGTTTGCTGTGTTAACTGGCAGCAGAAACCACACTGCGTCTCTGGTGGAGAACCCTGTTTAATAAGAATCTATCACGTCTGCTGCTGCTTCATGTCTTATCAGTGTTTCTGTGAGGGAGCAGGGGAAATTGAAAAGCGAGGGAATATAGAAAAGTATCAGGCAGAGTGAGTGAATACAGCGACGTGTCATCCAGAGATTGATGAATTGTGGAAAGAGAAGAAACAGCACTGGGTCCTATCCATTTTTAAGCCTGTGGTAGAAAAACAATGCAGTGCAGTGATGATGCCTCAGTGTTACCAGCAGCCTCACTACGGCTCATGATTCACCTGGGTACCTGTCAGACGTCGACTCTCCAGTCTGATGAGTGGATTTGGAGACAGCTGCTGCAGGAGTCCAAACATGTGTGTTAAGCTGAGAGGGTCGAGTGAGCACACAGGGTTTGGTTATGTGATCGTATAAAAGTAAATGTTGTGGGAAGACAAGTGGAAGATTTCATTAAAAATACATTTTGGTTTGGCCTCAGTGGAGCACGTCTGAGTGATGACTATAAAGATTTGATGATGAGAGCGTTACTCTGGTCTGGTGCACTGGCCTTTCTTCTGACATCTCAAAGGTAGTGAGGCTGATGTCATTTACAAGGTTTTTCTCTGCATGACAAATAGATATTTCCAGAAAATCAATCAATCATCCTTCATCCTTTATTAGTGACACCACTTCTTGTTTTAATGTGTCTGTTATCAGTTGTATGTCGTATCTCTAAAGGTTAGTCGATACAGGTTTGGACTGAGTGCCTTTTTCATCCCCCCATGGACTATTTCACAGTGTGAGTCTTTGCAACACACGCAGGCTGCCAAAGGAGGCGCCATTATGTAGTGGGTGGCAACTCATAAACTGTGTGGGGATTGAACCCAGGACTCTCTGTATGTAAGGCAGATGTGTAAATGAGGCATGCTAACGGCTACACTATGGAACCGCTGTGATGTCAATAACAATTTTACCCTCGAAATGTTTAAAAAAAAAAAGTTTTCAATTGTTTAACTGCTTAAGTTGGGCATTTAAGAATAAAGTGATTATGAGCTCTTTATATACCATAATGTTATATGGTATTTATGGTCAACACAAACTACCTTTTCTATCACAATCATGTGATGGTGGCAGCATGTGGCCATTGACTCCTTTAAGGTTGAGATCTTTGCTCACAGATTTAATAGATAACTGTATGGCAGTGATTTATAGAGACCTTTATTTATTTGTCCTTATTTAAGACATTTAAAATACCAACCAGATGTCCCCGGAGTCATTGGTTTGTTTAAAAGAAAAATGGTATTTTGGATGAAAGAATTATCAGTATAAGGTTTTATGTTTCCTGGTGGCAATCTCACACAGAGGTCAAATAGCTGCCAAGGTTTTTTTCTAAAGGAGTTGGAGCAGAAACGACTGGCAATGCAAAGGCTCTCTGTCCCCAAAAGATAAATAATAATAATAATAATAATAAACAGCAGCAATGGCCAAGGTTTCAAAAAGATTATTTGTGGCTTTCGCAATGTTTTGAGCTAACCTTCAAGCATTTTAGAGAAATATGAAATATAGAGCAGCACTGAGCAGCTCCAGGTCTGCTGAAAACATATAAGCAGAAGCTAATATCCTGTAGTTTAAGTGATTGCTATCATTGCTGTTGTTTATTGAGATCATGAGACTGTAATAATGTCTGTAAAACAACAAATGAATATCATCAGGTGAAGATGACTCATCCAGTAGACTTTGATAAATGTCCAAAGGACAGACACATTAAAGTGGGGTATTAGTGAGTTTTAGTGGATCACTGTAGGGACAGCAACAGAAACACTTCAGTGATCTGTAGTCAAGTGTTTTAGCTCCATGATAACTTGTACTTGGAAACTAATTAAACACATTCCAACAGTTGTTCCAGCAGCTCTCTCTGCCAGTTAATACAGTCCAAGTCATTTGCTGCTGCTGCTTCTTCCGCTGCTCTGTGAGCGAGTGACAAAAAGGTCATATTGGAATGCGAGAGGGAAACTTGCCTAATGAAGCTTCACATCGCTGCCTCCCAGCCATGCACAGAGGCAGCACCTCACACACACACACACACACACACACAAAGAACAAGCTCAGATGACTATATCAGGAAGAATACTGTCCATTATAACTCGTAACTGTTGGATATTAGCATTTCTCTTCAATCATCAGATGATGAAAGCCCTGATCCAGGTGATCAGAGTGAAACTCCAGTGCATGGCTGATCTTGTCAAAGTGACATCTGAGCAGGAAAGAACACAACGCAGTCCAGGAGAGTAGTTACAGGCAGATCAAAGAGTGTCGCTGCACTAACCTGCCTGACTGAATAATCAATCCTCGTTACATGGTGGCATATTGATCCCCAGGCGACAGCCAGACCTGGGTGATTATGTCAGTCTGTGGTAGTCTGCTCCTTCACTACTTCAGTCCTCCACTAACCTTTAGATTTAGCATTCATGAAGGTTCTGAAAGCTAATAACATGGGTGAACAATGCTATCAATGTTAGCAGGCAACGTGACAAGTGTGGCATGTGTTTACATAGCCGTATTGTGGAACGATGGTTAGTGCTATTGCCTTACAACGAGAAGATCACTCTATGAAGCGAAACTAGTTTCACTCCACTTTTCTTGTGCACTGCACAGTAATGAACAGGACTCCTCAACTGATGTGGAGAAACCAATTCACCTCAAGATCGTTTTTTTATCCCAAATAAACTAATCTGGGTGCAAAGTCATAGAAACTATTACGGGTTTCGCTCCGTGGTTGTGTGTAAAATCGCAACGCTCATTCCTCACAAAATCACATCCATTTGGGCTCAGCTTGTACCCGTCAATGGTCGTAAGTGGCAGAGGATGGACCGATGTATTTTTGTATGAGAGGACTTCAGATACGACCACGAGAAGGAAAACAGTTCAGCCTTTTACTCTGATGGCTGCTTAGCGCCTGCTGAATAAATGCTGCTCTGCTGAATAATGGAACAATTGCTAAGTATGTGTGGGTGGAAGAGGTATGGTGTCTTCTCAAAATAGACTGTGGTGCAGAAGTAGAAGACTTCAGGGATGAAATACAACGGCTCAAAATTAGTTATTAAAGCAACACGCACACACATCTGAAAGTATATAATGAAAAGAAATGAGGAAAACCTGCTCTGGAAACTAGAAATGAACAGAAACATCTCCAGAGATGAGAATATGGGCTTTAGGAGGAGAGGAGGGAAGTGATTTAGAATAGCTGTAAGTATTGATTCTCTATTTCTAATGAAAATACTAACTTGTACTACTATGAGACAAAGATATGTCCATGACATGCAAAGATATGTCCATGACATGCAAAGATATGTCCATGACATGCAAAGATATGTCCATGACATGCAAAGATATGTCCATGACATGCAAAGATATGTCCATGACATGCAAAGATATGTCCATGACATGCAAAGATATGTCCATGACATGCAAAGATATGTCCATGACAAGCAGCAGCCGCAGCCGCAGCAGCAGCACCAGCAGCCGCAGCAGCAGCCGCAGCAGCAGCAGCACCAGCAGCCGCAGCAGCAGCACCAGCAGCCGCAGCAGCAGCAGCCGCTGAGGTGCTATTTTTAGAAACAGCGTTCCGGTGAGAATCAGTCAAACTGGGTCTTCAACAGTGTTTTCATGAAAATGTGCTTCTTTTACTGCTGCAGTCTTTGGAGATTCTTATCAGCGCATACCGGGTCATAAAATTGCAGCAGCCATCTACACACAGAGAGACACACGCAGACTCTCTCTCCTCTCTCTCTCTCTCCCTAAATTTCTTTCCCCTTCTCTCTCTCTCTCTCTCTCTTCTTCCTATTCTTCTTTGCTGATTTCTAACGATGCCTTTACGTCCCTTACTCTCCAGGAACGCCTTGTCCAGAAACTTTTGCACCATGCAATCGCCTGCACTTTACGGCAACAAGGACTGCGGCGCTGTCGGGAACTCGTATAGTTTTGCGTTCTTTCAAAATAATTCTGAGAAAAATTGTAGGCGGATTTGATACACACAACGCCAAAGGAGAGAGCTTTTATATACTTTTTCCCCAAAGTAGAGGTATTTTTTTACACCTCCCTGGCTCCTATGGGAATTAAGCACTCATCCCGCTGCATGTTCCTCAGGAGAAAAATGGCGGAGTCCGAGAGCACTGAGGTAAGTGTGGGGATCGTTCTATCTTAGTTTTAGATCGGCCATGGCCTGAGCTTTAACCTGCAGCATGTGTCCTACGTTTGGCAGAAGTTGCATGCAGGTCAAAATGAAGGATGCAGTGCGTCGTGGCAGAGAGACTATCAGTTTGAATGAACCAGGGATCTCTCTCTCTCACTCTCACTATCCCTTTATTTCACCTGTCACTTTCTCTCTCTTTTCTAAACCCCTCCTGAAATGGGAGAATAACATTTCCCCACTCAAGGTTTCGGATTGAATAAACTCGCTGCATTGCATTTATGCTGCAGGTTGTTTCTGCGTGAGGCGCTGTCCAAGGTACTGCAGCATTCTTTCTGACAAGCCTGTGAGTTCATTTGCAGGGAAGAAAGTAGGGTGAACTAAGGACATGGTTTGTCATTAGCCCCACGCCGCAGCACAGTGTGTCTTAACGGGGGATTCCCGGTATTAGATCCTCTATCCACAGTGTCTCTAATTTAAAAAGAAGACAGACTCTGTCCCAGATTGCCCTGAAGTATTTCATATGCTGAAGCATCCGTTCAATTTACTTAACTCCTCTTTCGAGGCTTTAAAAATGTCCAGTGCTTCTCCACAGGAGCCCTACGTTGTATTGAGTTGGGTTTGCATCGGTATTCACAAAGTGAATGGAAACTCAAGAAGCCTTGCTGGTTCTTTTTAAGTAACGCTTAAAAGCTGCACACACTCTGTGAAGCTACAGGCTGCCTCTCCTGACGCCTGCTCTACATTATTTATCACAAAACTATTCCTCAAAGCAAGTGTATTCATGGCAGATGATCCTCAAGCTTTCAGGAGGCAATTGACACATCCCAGTAAGTGGACGTACTGATGTTTGGGGGTTTCCTCTCTCAGCTGTTATGGGATATTTGGGCACTTGAGTGGTGAGATGGAGAATAAAACACCTAAGTGATTCCTGTTCCTGTCTGTAGGCGAGGGTTTTTATTATCAGAGTTGACAACAGTTCATCATCAAACGTATTTGATCCAAATGTAGGAGAAATCCACATTAATCTGGACTGTGCAGCATGAATATCACATAAGCATCTATAAAGGAGGGGCAGAAATCTGGCGATACTTACGATACCTATCACATGATACGATACAGGGGCAATGGTAAAATATATCGTGATATACTGAGATAGAATAGGCATGTTGATATATTAAGTTGTTTTTTTTTAACATTTAATTGTTGGAAAACTGTCAGCACAGTAAACACACAATGCTGTTACCTGTTTAGCATTAGGTTACTAAAACGAACAGCAAAATAAAGTGAACCAAGGCCATGAATATTTGCATGTTAATTATTATTAAAAAATGAATATTTGCATGTTAATTATTATTAAAATGAATTATTTAAATGATAATATGCTGTTGAATATCAATACAATAAAGTGAAATGAAATATTGCATATTGATATTTTCTCGCACCCCTACTTAAAAAGGTTTAAATTTACCTTTATTCTTATTAGTCACATATGCTACCTACTGTGTCACGTGTGGAAAAACGTATCTTCTATTGTCATTTTTACAGAAATAACTCACATGTCTTTGGTTTTTCTGCACTGCAGCTTTGTCACCTCTTTAATGGTGATGTATAAATTAGTAAGTATTTGGCTCGTACTAACTGTTTATTAATGGTGATTCATCTTTTTTTAAGATGCCGACATTTGATATCTGCAGTCTTTGCATCTGGGTGTCTGCCCATCATGTACAGTAGCTGCAGGATGAGGCCAAATGCACCAACTTCTAACAAAGTAAACACTGAGTGCTGACCTCATCACCTGACTGTCCCTGGACTGAGAGACAGCTCTGGACTCATTTAGCTGAATGCAACACATACAACACAAAGTACAAAACACTTAAAGATAAAGTGAACGTACATGAATGCAAATTAACTATTTAATGAATATTTTAGTGGAAACAGAATAGTTTGGATTTCATCACAAATTCTTACCAGAATCACTGGTATGATTATGACTGGTAAAAACCAAATAAGATGACGTAAAATCTGCCAGACAGAAAAAGAAAAACCCAGTAAGATAAAATTCACGAGGCCACAAGTGATGGATTTTAAGACAGACTGTGAGTTAAAAAAAGTTTCTCTATGGGCCACAATTGGCCTCCAAGCCGGACTTTGAACACCCTCCAATTATTATGCCCTGCAAAACATATATTAAGACTAAGATCACCAAACTGAGATCAGTTAGTCAACGTGTTTTTGGTTATTTTGCAACAGAGTAAATAATAGGTAGCTTCCTTGGTTGAAGAGTGAGTTTGGTGGCTGTTAGCTCGGGCTGTGTGGCTGAGCTAACAGCTTTATTAGGGTGCGTTTAATGGGGTCATGTCTGTGCATTTGATCCAATTTTGCCAAATCTGGTTTGTAAAAAGGCCAATGCTTCTAAGCTTATCAACTCTTGTTTTTGACATTAATAATACTGGGAACCAGTCATCTTCAAAAGTAAATGGCATAGACTAAGCAAGAAAAAAAAATGAACTCATGAAGTTTCTGCTCACTGTATCTCATTCTGTCCTGGTTTAAAGGAAAGTTAGAGACTAAAACAGCAGCCAAACAGTGGAGGAATCCCAGAATCTAAAAATCCATTTAGTAAAATGGTCAGTGCAGTATGGTACCGTTTCCTCCTGACAGATCAAAAAGCTCACAGGCGGCGGATATAACCATTAAATCTAATCTGATGCACAGAACTGCACAGTGCTCTTTGACAAATTAGTTTAGATAGCAGCCGACCGAATAAGTGAGACCACCTGCACTGACCTCCCACAGCACAGCACAAAAATGAGAGATAATGTGTCTGAGATAATGACATGAAATATATATATATATGTGTGTGTAATTTACCCAGCATTCACTCACTAATGTAAATAAAGAAGCTATTGTATGTTGAACCATCACTGTTTGTGTGTCGCCAGTTATGGGTTTGTTGCTGTTTCTTTTATTTTTAGAAGTCTTAAAGTTTTCAGTACAGCTCCTCACACTTCTGAGAAACTGTTAGTGTCTATTTTCTCTTGCTCTCACTCACTGACACACACACACACACTAATGAGTGTGTTTCCCACAGGCTATAGAGGTGATAATCAGGCCATTATGGTTGTACCTTCTGTGCAGTTTAGTCTTCTCGCCTTCTGCCGTCTTGATGTCAGTGATCAGAGTATTCTCTCCACATTCACTCGTCTCTCTGAAGCCCACAGTCATTTTATAAGGTGATTGCCACGGGCCGATAAAAACTATTCACTTTTTCAAATCTTTGCCTTCAACGCAGCAACAGTCGCAGCCGCAGCCGCAGCCGATCCGCATTATTCCATCGCAGTCGGTGCAGCCCACATCGTTGCCCAAGCCTGTGCCTTCTATGCAGCCCGCTCCGAGGCCTCCGATCCCACCGCACACACCTCACGCTGCCAGTCTGCCAAGCTGCCCAGGGCGAGGCAAGATGTCCAAGTTTCTTAGTCCAGAGGAGATGACCTCCAAAGACTACTACTTTGACTCCTACGCCCATTTTGGTATCCACGAGGTACTGTCTTATCAGAACGACCTCTTCACACCAGAAATGTGACAACTTTAATTCACTGTTTAACTAAATACTCAATTTAAAACAGAGGTGTTTAACAAAGTGTTCAGCTGAAATAATGGAAACCTCATCTTTATCCATCTTGTACAGACAGAACAGATGGACCCTTTAATTAGCACATAAAAAAGTTCAACCAGAAAATATTGCTTCAAGATTGAATTGACAGCTGTGTTTCCCCCCACGTTTCCTCCCACATAAAATAAGTAATATAATTATCATAGGTATCATTAAAATTGAAAAAAAATTAAAAATGTTTATTTGGTTTCAATAAAGAATATAGAAAATAGAAAGGCAAATAAAAATGCACTTTTTTCTATATTTTCTAGGAAGTATTTTTGTAGACATAACCATTTTAATGATTCCATAGTGTATTTTACAATCATATTAAAATAAAAGTTATAAATATTTATTAAAAATGATTTAGTTCAGTTGTGTTTTAAGTATGTTTTACTATCAAAAACAAATCCGACCTCCATTAGACATTTTAAAATGGGATAGTTCTCAGTGGTACACCTGCTGATATCCACACGGCACCCACATGTACCACGGCTCACTGGTTGGGAATCACTGATCTATGGTAATGTAGATAAAACTCAAAGGTTTAGCATGGACAATTGCATGGTAAAAAAATCAAGAGATCATAATAATGAGAATTCAGTTTGTCACTAAAGAGTTAAGAATTTTTTTGGCCTTTAAATGAAAGTATTTGCTCATCAAGCTAATATATTTTAATTTTTGTTGCTTTTCAGGAGTATATTTTTAAGTATATTTTTTAAACCTAACTTCATACCAAATTTCACAGAGCTCATCTATGTAATCCCACCAGAGAAAGTGAGGTATTATGGGAGGTATCTAAATCCCGTGTGATCTGCAAGGTAGATTTTTGTCTATAAGTACATAAGCCTCTATATATTTGAAATGAAGGTCAAGTGTATTTACTATTGTCTTTACACACATTTTGAAAGACAAACAAATGAAAGCTGCGGACAGTCTTATTTGTGCTGTGATGAACAGACTGAGCTAAGCTGCTGTTATTTATTTCCTGTTTGACCGCAAATATTACTGAAAATCCAGACGGCTGCTGCTGCTGCTGCCCGGCTGATGTTACATCATTACAAAACAAATCACCGCCCTCTGCCAACTCATTTCTGATGTCCTTTGTACTCTATAAGGAAATGCTGAAGGACGAAGTCAGGACGCTGACCTACAGGAACTCCATGTATCACAACAAGCACGTCTTCAAGGACAAGATAGTGCTGGACATCGGGAGTGGGACCGGCATCCTCTCTATGTTCGCAGCCAAGGCAGGGGCAAAGCACGTGTACGGGGTAAGACCTGTGTGTTATTGGATTGTTATTACACCGAGTTATAGTACTGTGAAGAGCTGATCGCACCATGATCTTGTACATGTACTGTGTACTTTGTCTGTGCGTACGTCACCTTTTCAAATAAACCCTTAGAAATGACCTGTGTGACGAGCAGATGATGAGAGTGTTTGGCTTGTGTTCTGAAGAAGAAGTATCTCAGCTGGTTCAGCTTTTGTGTAGTAGCGTCCACATCACTTTAGGGGGCAGTACTTAACTGAGAACTTTAAAGTTACTTGTTCTAAGGACAATACTAAAGAATATGTGTTCTAAGGAAACAGTGCAGTTAAACCTTTCTGACAAATTTTAATGGTAAATGGTTAAAATAACAATTATGAAAGTGGAGCCTCCAGTGAACTCCAGGAATGTTGGGACAGAGGAGGGTTTGACACCAGGTCACATTTAAATTAAAATGTGCTTTCTAATTATCGGGAACCTGAGGACATTAGATATTTCAGTTTTTTACGAGTGGAATTCAATTTATTTAATTAGTAGATAAATGTGGGCTACGGGCAAAATGGGAGGCTAGAAATGTCTCAAAAAGATAAACTAAAGTTCTATCATCGCTTCGACAAGTTTTGACAGGAGCCCAAACTAATCCTTTAACCTGAGAAGCTGTGGTAACCTGTGTTCTCAGCAGAATATACATACTGAGACTTGTCTTTAAATCAAGACAAACACTGTTAGGAAGGACAGTCTAAAATAAATAACTAAATTTAACTGACATCTGGGTATGAAATGCTAAAGAAGAGAAAGTGAAAGCCCAGAGAAATGAGAACACCGGCTGTGACTGTTCCTGACACCAGTGAGGGGTGAAATGTGTGAGGGTGTGAGGAGACCTGAGGATGATCACTGGTGCTTGACTATTAAACACAAGGTTAATTTCAGTCTGTTCTCACACACAGGAGCAGGAGATTTTGATTTTTTTTTTTGCATGTTGTCACTATGACAACACAGTAACACAGACTACATGTGTTAAAGTACACACGGTGCCTCAACACTGGCAGCTCCTGTTTATTCACAGAGCTGATGCCTGATCCTGGCTCTTAATGGGCAGATACACCAGCACTGTGCTATCTGCAGCCTACATATACATTCTGTACTAATAGGAAACAACCACAGGGCTGCTTCAGGGAGACAGCACAGCCAGCGGGAAAAGAATAGTCCTAGAATATATAAAAAAAAAAAAGAAAGTCTACGAAGTTCATGTCACACTGCACTGCCATAAATCTTAAAGGAATTCAAAGACAGAAATGAGATTTTTGTATTTACAAGGGATTCACTCTTTATTATTCAGAGTTCATACAGGAGCCCTCTGATTGGTTTGGAGCAGATGGTTGTCTCCTGAAGGTGGAACAGCGTGTGTGTGTGTGTGTGTGTGCACTCCACTAAAACTCCATTCACGCAAAGTATCTGAAGCTGACAACGACTGTTGTTAACAGATGCCTCATCTTCTGTTGTGTCCCCATTAAATCTTTGTTGTGGACAATGACGGATGCTTTCTATGTAATGACTCGTAAGGACAAAAGATGAATAAAGTATAGAGCGACCAACAGGTTCTGTTAAAGAACTCTCAAGGTGTGTTCAGTCAACCTTGGCAAGGACAATTGTGATTCCCAACCTCTGTGCCATGGGTCATCAAATGTCCCATGGTCTGAAAACCAGTTGAAAATGATTGCAAATAATTTGTCTTTGCTCATCTATGCAACAGTGACAGGCAGAACAATAAAATACTCATCCACCAGATGGCAGTAGAAAACAATTACATGTGTTTAAAAACCTTGCTGCTGCTGAGCTGAAAAAGCTCAATGTGCCATATGAGGGGCCACACTCCCAACTTTGGGAACCACTCAAGTACAGTAACTTTGCTTTTCGGTAATACTTGGAATAAATGGCTGAGTAAAGTGAGCTTCTGCAGTAAGTGAGATAATGTGTTTCAACTTTACTGATAACATGCTGTGGTATTAGGTTCGACTTCAGTGCTCCGACACAGGCCTTCATTAGTGCAGAGAACTCTTCTGGTACTTGGTGCCCTAAGGCAGACACATTCAGAACTGTAGAGTGATTAAAACCCACCTGCTGTAATGAAAATGTCAGACAAATGATCCACCCCACTGTTAGACACTCTTTATCCTTCGCTTCTCTTTTTTTAGCTGCTGAAGCTGATTCGGTGGTTAGATTAAGGACATAAAATGACACTTTAGTTTTTCTTTATTCTTATGATAAGCTGAGTAAATTCACCTGGTACCACATCTCTAGAGGTTAAGGATTTCTCATACAGTATCTGAGGCACATCAGTCCTTTTAGCATTTATTAATACATTAGAATGTAATCAATGTCCTTCGTGTGATCAGTTCCTTATTTTACTTTATTTGATATTGGCAGATTGAATGTTCCAGTATATCGGAGTACTCCGAGAGGATCATCAAGTCCAACCACCTCGACAGTGGTAAGAGTTACTGCAGTTTTTCTTTATCTGTTCAGTCTCAGCGCTGCACAGACCACTGGCAGAGTGAGACAACTGGAGGTTAGAGAACAAACACAAGCTCCACAGGTGGAATTAAAAATTCCAGAATGAGTAATAAGTCTGTTCTGACAAACCAAACCCTTCTGATCTGATACCTAAGCCCAAATCTTCAACATAACTTTGCTTCACATGCTGGTGTCAACCGGTTTCTAACCGACAACCTGCCACAATGTGCTGCCATGGAGATCCAGCATCTGCAGGAGAGCTGTCTCAGATTACTGTAGTTGTCTGTGTCTCCACCAAACTCTCATTCACAAAGTTGGAATTGTGTTTTCATGGAGGAGACCTACATTCAGGGGTTACGTTGATAAAGTGCGGAATTCCAGAAATACCAAGAATTGGGTTATTGTCTCACAGATATTCATTCATACAGAGTCAAACAGCAAAACCAGCCATTACTTCAAGTACTCATCCAAATGTTCTCTGTAGCCTACAGAAATATACACCCTCACTACATCCTTGACACAGAACCAATAAATGTTCAGCTCGTGCACAGATATGGAATTTGATTTTTTTTTTTTTTTAAGATTATGTAATTCTGTTCCATACTGTGTCAGGAGTATTCTAATCTAAGTGCTGAAAACTCCTTTACTGTTGTGTGTTCCAGTGATCACCATCTTCAAAGGTAAAGTGGAGGAGGTGGAGCTGCCTGTGGAGAAGGTGGACATCATCATATCTGAGTGGATGGGTTACTGCCTCTTCTACGAGTCCATGCTCAACACTGTCATCTTTGCCAGGGACAAATGGCTGGTATGATGTACAATCAGGACAATAGCTGTACCAGAAACCAAACCAAAGCATGAATACAAGAAGAACTGTATATTTTCATAACGGCAAAATAACAACGTCATTTATTAAGGATCTATGGTCTATATGAAACACACACAATATCTAAAATAGGAATCATGTAAATGATAAGATCATGTAACTGTAGAGAGTTTTGCCCCCAGTTAAATGAGAGTTATTTAAATTTACCCAATATTTCACCATTGGCAGCAACAATCATAAGAAAACAAGTTACATCGAGTTTCATTGTTTATAACTGGCCATAATGAAAAAAAAAAGTAGAATACTTAAATAAAAACCTTTTAGGAGAAAATAACATAATTAATTATTGATTTTCAATTACAAAGAATTGCTACTTAATTGCTACATTAGGTAGAAAACATAGTAAACACGGTTCATTTCTAAACCATAACTATTCCTTAATTCTTCTTACTTCTTGCCATAATTATTTCAATCAATTATTTCTTTAATATTTCTCCTAAACTTCACCACTGACTGAGTCTTAGTTTCATCAGAGACCAAGGCGTCTTCTAGCCTTAAATAAACACGTGTATTTACCTTTAAAACCAATTCATAACCAAGAAAATAAAGTAGAACTACAATGTAGTCAGTCAGTCATGATCACCTCTCCCGCTCTGAGTCGTTCTGCGTGCAGATGTAACGGCTTCTTAATCACTGCTGCAGCTAAATAATTGTTACCACTGCCACTTGACAAATGAACTGTCATCAGTGGACACCATTATTACTGTGGGCAGGACTCAGTGCTGATGTTTTTTTCTCTTTACCTCATTCATCAAACAGAAACCTGGTGGATTAATGTTTCCTGACCGCGCCTCCCTGTACGTGGTGGCCATTGAAGACAGGCAGTACAAGGACTTCAAAATACACTGTGAGTGTGTGTGTGTACAGCACAGTGTGTGAGTGTTGTGTTAGTGGAAAGTGTTGTTTGGATACATAGTGTTTTCATTTCAGATTTGAAGGAAATATGGGAGGCTTTAGTTCACGGCTGTCAAACTCAACTGGATTTAAACACGTCTACACTGGAGGCCAAACAGATTTTCAGATCTAGTGCTGAGAACACTCTCAACGGACCAAAAAGGAAAAAAAAAAAAAAGGAAAAAGAATTGAACAGACTGCAACATTCTTATTCCTAAATAAAAAAAGCCACCCTATCAATGATATACATGCAGACAGATTTAAATAATAAATATAGTAAAGTATATATAGTATATATATAAGTAAAATATAGTATGGATTATATACAATACAGTTTTATTTAATACTTCCACAATGCTAAACACTAGTGGGCCACATGAAATGATGTGGTGAGCCAGATTCGGGCCACGGGCCTTAACTTTAACGTATGCGCATAAGTTAATAAAGGTGGGAAAGGCTGCAGAAAATCAATTACCGTGCATAACATCTTTGTCCCTCAGTGGGTCACCCCTGGGGGCATATGAGATTTTTTTATGTCCATATTTTTAGAATTAACATGAATTCAAAATCATTTTTAAGAATATTTCATTCATTTCTCTCTGAAATAAAGGAAGTTCATGAACCACTTGCTTTGTTTAGTAGGTTTTCCCAGAGCTCGGTGGCTCAGCCCAACCTGGCATTGCCGCAAGTCATCACCTGTCAATCACCACCACCGCGACAAACAATAGTGTCATGGCTTAACCATGGCTGTAACAAAACTGTAAACACAGCGAGGCGAGAGTCCAAGAGAAGGAAACCAGAGCTGACGAAATTACAGCAGTGTTGAGAAGAACATGTTTGATTTGGATTGACGTCTATAATTGTAACCCACTGTAACCCACTGACGGCTCATTGGCTCAGGGTTTGGTTTATTTAACTTCAGTCAATCTGCCACTGATGACGAAGTGCTGGGTTTTATGCCCTTTTTTTTCAAACCGAAATTGCCTTGTGCTATTTAAAGGGTACTTGGCTGACAAGATATTTGTCATGCGTGAAAAAGGTTAAATACTACTGCAGTAGAAAATGTCAAGCTTGTAGAATGAACATAGCTACTTGAGCTCTGGGCTAGTATGAGGAGTGATTAACGTGGCCAACCACTGATTAAAATGTTACCTTCGACCAGGGGTGATCAATAAATAGACTTGGATCTACCAGTAGATCACAAAGGGAGAGCTGGTAGATCATGAGCAATTAAAAGTAAAAGTAAACAGTAAATATAATTATATACTGTGTAGTAGTGGCTATATAGTGTAAGAACTGAATCATATAGTGCCATAGAGCAACATGCATTTCATCAGCTGATCATCCATCTGTTTTTAACGGATCTTTAATTTTTGGTAAATTAAAACAAAAAACAAAAAAACTTTATTCTGTTAGTATTGGTGTTAACAAGATGCCAGATCATCTTCAAATGCAGAAAGTAAATGGAAATGACTGAATTTCTTTTTATATATAAAGTGAATTCTAAATCATTTCACTGCAACCTGCTGTGGCCTGGGACCACATGATTGGTATTGGTCAGCAAACCAGAGGTTGGTAATACCTAATAGCACAGAGCACATCCAGGTTATAAGTAAATATAAATGTTCAACATTTTCAATGTAGGTAGATCACAATAGCCTGGTTTCTCAATGTACTCACAGGAACATTCATAAATTCAGCACTGCAAATACAATCACTGCTATTATACAGTAACAATCCCCTCATCTCTCCTCCACTGTTCTGTTAATGTGCCCAGAGCTTTTTGGTTCATTATTTGCTGCTGGACAAAAGCGAACAAGCCGTGCCAAACAGGATGTTAAGCCAGTGTAGAACCTAGATTACATCTGAACAATAGCCCACCGCTCATTCACTCACTCGCTGCAATGCATCTGGGAAATTACGTGACCACAGAGCAGCAGCTCATTTATGGAGAAAGTCAAACTGCAGCATCACATGCGTCACATGCTTTCTCCTGTTGCCTGGGGACTTCAATTTATTCTGTCCGTGTTTCAGAAGTACAAGGCCAGACTAACTTGAGTGGGGAAAGTGCTCACACTGACCACAAACTTCTTTCTCTCAAGGCTGATGGCTTCAGATGACCTTCAGACTGAGTTAGAAATAGCCTTTAGACGAACTAAAAGGCCTGGCCACAGTCATTAGTGTTAGTGTCCTGTCGTTTCACTGCCTTTTAAAGGTATGCAACACAATACTGTGTGTCAAATATTATAAACAAATGTGACGGCCGTGTTGTTTAACATCATCCGATGTCAAACTTCAACTGTCTTTTTCACATCTGGAAAATCTACATTTTGACTCTACAGGGTGGGAGAATGTGTATGGCTTCGACATGACTTGCATCCGTAATGTGGCAATGAAAGAACCACTGGTGGACGTAGTCGACCCTAAACAGGTGGTGACCAACTCCTGCTTGGTGAAGGTTAGTGTTGAGCTCAGTTCTGTTTCAAATGGTAATGTTGCTCTGTTAACCCAGTCATAGTTGCTGTTATGCTGAAACTAGTACATGTCATTGACGCTGTATGAGGACTGAGTAGAGCCGTGTCGCTGCATACATACATACATATATATATATATGTATATATATGTACGTAAACATACATATTTCACATTTATTTCCACATTGTCAGCCGCTAGAGGGCACTCAAGCTGGCTTGTGCAACTTATACTCTGGAGTGACTTATATAAAATGTTTTTTGTTTCTATTATGCATTTTTTTGGATGGTGCGACATTTACTCCAGAGTAACTTGTAGATGGCACTGTTTTTCTAATGGCACTAAAATATTCTTAAAAATACATTTTTAATGTAAGTTCTTAGTTAATTTGGTAACGTCTTCCCTACATGTGTGTGGCTTAACAGTTGTACAAAGTTGTAGCTGTGAGTTTGAAAATCCACTCTGACAATAAGGTTAACATGACAACTTAATTGTCATGTTGTTCATGTTGCATATTACTTAAAATGTGAAATACCAGCGATCCAGTTAGCAGTCACTGCATGAGCAGTCACTAATAGACTGAATCGACATCAGTGCAGTTGCTGAATGATAAAAAATGAAAAAAAAAAAAAAAAACCAACATATTTTGTGGCAGTCTACGGCTGGCAGACTTCGACCTTGATGTGTGGCCGTTGCCCTGTCTGATCTTCTCATTTTGTAGATTAGACTGATCACAGCTGCTGTGCCATGCATGTCAATGGCAGCTCGTCTCGTCGCCCTGATTGTGCTCCCTGTCACAGTGACCTTCTTATTGTTGGCGTTGATTACACCGCTTCCCTCCCGTCTCACCTCTCTGCTGGAGTGAAACTTCCCCACAGTGATATTTTGAAGTCAGCCTCAATGCTGCCATCCATTGTTGTCTTTTTTTTTAATCAGTTGAAATGCAGGTATTACATTACTGTTGATCTGCAGTAGACAACGGTCCTGAAGTTTGAATGGAAATCAAACGATCGTTTGTAAAGAAAACATTACTACAATTTCCCACCGCTAACCGCTGCTATTGTCTTCAGATGGATTAATGACTGACCTCATTAAAGCTGCATAGCTGTGGAATGGTACTCACAGGACCTGGTGTTATTAAAACTGCTGCTTGAAACACTGGGCATCAGTGGTCAGTGAGGATCCTTACAAAATAAAATTAAAAAACCTGCTGAAAATACACAGATGAATTTACACATCCTGCAGGATGATGTTTGGATATGATTCCGTCTTCAGAGTACAGTAAATTCTACTTGTCTTACTTTTAACTGTGGCTTTGGGGAGTCTATACGTATTTCAGAAATTACATTGTAAAATAAGTCTATACTATACTAGATATTACTGTCTTGTTTTTATGCATTATTTAATATATATTATATATATATATTTTATTTTTTTCACAGTGAAATGTCACCAAAACAGGTGATGGTACTGCACATGTACTGTATTTACTTACAGCATACAGTACGTAGCCTGTGTTAATATGTATCACAGTCGTCTCCCCTGCTGCCACAAATTAAGTTGAACATGTAAGTCTCATGGTTAACATTTCAGAGCAAATACTGTAACCTAACAGTAGGAAACTCCATGAATGAACGTCAGTCACTTTTACAGCTGACCTTCACAGCTCTTGGCCTCAAATTCACTGCTAAATAAAACCCTGGCAAAAGCCTGATAGAGATTAGTGCTGACATTTTGGCTTTTTGCATATCAAAGGTGTTTCACCCAACTGCAATGCAGTAAGTACAGCACAGTTGCATACAGTACGGTACAGTCCAGTCCAGTCCAGTGCAGTGTGGCCACAGCCCTAACTGATACAGGGAGTTCCAAAGAACACATTTGGTCATTACGACCAATGTTAACCTGCAGCAGCACATGTCTGTATTGTTCAGATATACACAGTATTCAGATGCTAATGGGATCAGACTACTCATCAGCCAAAGTCATACTGTATGGAAGTTTGAATGGAGGAGTGTATGTACACGGGGTCCTCGACCCACTCAAGGTACCAATCCTACAGTGTGATGTGACTCTATTTTAGCTGTAAGTCAGAACATTCTGTACCTGTGTCACTCACCTACGCCAACACAGTTGTGCCATCATAAGCTATGACATAAAATTATCTGGAGAGTCTGACTTACACTTAGCCACAGTCATTATCCAATCACAATCCTGTGTGATGACGTATTTGTCCAGAAAACACAGTCAAAGTACCTCAGAGATAGCTTCTTCCCGAAAGCTATCTCAGCAGTGAACAATAGTAACAAATCCAGTTAAAATAGTCCACACAATTTCACACTTTACTGATCATATTGATCACTGTGCAATAAAGAAACAACTATGTGCAATAACTAATCACACCAAAGATATGTTTGTTATATGTTTGATATATTGTTTTCTTCTACTCTTTTTTTTTGCACCAAGTGAGTAGCGCTCAAATCTCATTGTACACTGTACAAGGACAATAAAGGCTATTCTATTCTATTCTATTCGTTCACCAACTAGTTTGTGTGCAAATTATTTAGCAATTTGTAAAAAAAAAACCCACTGTAATGGAACAAGACTCCTGTACATCCCTGTGCAGTCAAATATAAACTCAGTATAAGATTGACTAAATATATATTCATCCATTTCCCCTCTTTCATGAGGATCATTTTCATTCTCATTTTAAAACTGGGCAGTCCATTGAAACTGAGGTGTCACATCAAGTGATTTGACATGACTTGGAAGTGACACAACTGGTAACAAAGTCTGAAGCTACACACTTATTAAATCATTTAACAGTTGTATTTTAACAACTAAATCAATCACCTATTGTAATCAGATTCGTCTGCATAACACCAGAGGGAGCTTTAGTACCTACAATGGTACACAACCCCTAGTTTGAGAACCATTGAGTTATGGGTTCAGGAGAATGCAGTAAAATCTCGTGTGTCTTCTTTTTTTCCAGGAGGTGGACATCTACACTGTCAAAGTGGAGGACTTGTCCTTCAGCTCAACATTTTGCCTGCAGATACAGAGGAATGACTACGTCCATGCACTGGTCACCTACTTCCACATAGAGTTCACCAAGTGTCACAAGAAGACGGGATTTTCCACTGGTAAGACGGAACAAAGAATCCAGGGTCGATCAGAATATTTGCTCAGGGCTGTATTTTTTTTAACAATAGAGAAATACTGTTAACAGACTGAAGGATCAAAACCTTTGTCTCTGCATATGGTATATTATCACAGTGTACTACAGCTCAGTAAGATCTGAGCACAACTTACTCTGAATTAGATGCAGTTCAAGTTTGGATGAGTAATCTTCCAAAATTGGAGGCGTCGCTTGATGCTTTGAGTCAGTGTGAGACTGACCTCTAGTGGTATGGAGAAGCCCTAAACGTCAGTTAGTTAAAGCAGGCTTACCAAAGGGAAAGTAGGCAATGACTCTCAAATATGAAATACTGGTACTGCTACAAACACTGTTCAAAACCTACTGTACAGGTACAACAGCCCAACTCATACTATAAGCAGTGACTACGAGAGATTAACCTTGGACTGAGACAGGGACACAGCTGAGGACAATTCAAACAGAATCACTGGCATTGCAGATTAAGTTTGTCAGTCCATCATAGTTGATAAAGAGACAATCTCACATCCACATGGGAGAAACACAGAAAATCCTTCAGTAAAAGGAGCAGCTTTACACTGGTTCAAGCTTCCGTAGAAGCTTCTATACATAACCAGAAACTCAAAAACCAAACACAACAGTTTTGCTGCAAATGATGTCAAAGCAGTGTTAGCCTCACAATATCTTATAGCCTTAACAGCTATTAGATAAGGATTAGCTGCTAAGCTAGTTCTACTGTTCTACTACTTCTCCCCAACTCCAAACCAAAGCCAGCCAGCAGCCTGCACACAGCTGCAGCAGTGCCACGTGGTTTTTAGACGTCAGAACAAAGATGAAGTGCAAAAGAAAATCGATTATCATCACGCTCACAGAACTTGTACACTTCCATGTTCATCACCTGATAAAGGATAGAATAAGGAAACTTTTTGGTTGGAAAAAGTCAGAACAATGCAACAGGTTTTAGAAACAGATGCAACACATAAATCAATACAGTCTTGACACACAGTTACATCAGACACACACATTCACACACAGACTCAGTGGGGGACTGCAGCACAAGCTGGTCACAGCAAATGCCATTCCATCTTACATATTACACAAGACTCACTGGTCTTTTTATTGAGCTGTGCACATTCGTGAAGTGACGCAATCTTCAAGTGGAAAAGTTGAAGATCACATTCGTGAAGTGACGCAATCTTCAACTGGAAAAGTGGGCCCACTGATTTGTCCCTGGACGAACTGCGGCAGTTCGATTTAAGCAGGTCTGACCTTTCAAATTCAGCCAAGCCATCGCTGGGACGCAGAACAGGAGGATTCATTTAAGGTTCTTTTGGAGCACCGCACGCAGGCAGCAACAGCGGGTAGGAGGTCAAACATGTAGGTGCCGTCTTCTCAAGCTAAAAGCAGACACCTGCTCCTCACACCAAAAATGTACCCACCCCTCTATGTTCAGTTCGAGTACAGATATGTGATTTTGCTCCATTTGTACTGCATGTCTTTATTGTCTGTTAAAGCAGGCTGTATTTTAAAATGTACTCTTGTTTTGACATTGAAACATAAATATTCTTGTACATATATACATATATAAATATATATGCAGATATGCTTATATGTATATATTTAAACATGTATAAATATATACTACTATTTCCATATATGTATATATATATATGTGTGTGTGTATATATATATAGTAAATTTTAGCCATTATGGCCTTATATTGAACTGTTTTTATTTATATAATGTTTTTAATTTTTATTTTAAATTTAATTCAATTTCAATTTAATGAATCTATTTAAATATATTTTATTGGAATTTACCTCATTTGAAGGTCAAATAGGCTTAAGCTTCTACATCGACAGGCTAAGGTGAAAAAATATTAAAAGTTAATGCACACATTTCTCTCTGTGTGTGTGTGTGTGTCCTACTGCAGCTCCTGATGCTCCGTACACCCACTGGAAACAGACGGTGTTCTACCTTGAGGACTACCTGACTGTGCGAAGAGGAGAAGAGATTACTGGAAGCATTTCTATGAAACCTAATGACAAAAACATAGTAAGTATCACACAAACATTCTGTGTATATGTCACAAGAGTCCTGGAGAATCATAAGATGAAGAAATGACCAATTCCCTTGAAACGTTGTTATTTAAAAAAAAAAAACCTTTTCTATCTTGCAGCGAGACCTGGACTTTGCCTTTGAGTTGGATTTTAAAGGGCAGCTGTGTGAGGCAGCCATATTTCACGACTACAAGATGCGTTAACTTTCACGCAGGCGCATCGGCCCATCATTTATGACCCTTGAACACCAGAGGGAGACAGAAACCACAGTGGGCTCGTAGACATAGCGTACGATTTAAAACGGACAGCAACGATGAGGATGAACTCGTGCTGAGTGCTGGAGACATCAATGTCACCAGTGCAACATAGAGAGAGCACAGCAGTGACTGACACTCTTCTGAATGTAACAGTAACGACGTGAGGTCGATAGTTTTTCCCTGTTCTCCATGAATGTCGGTGATACTTGGTGAACCTGTGATGTCAGGTGAAGTGATGTACCTCTGTTTTTCTGTTCAGTATTTGTTTTCTTAAATGACACAGCACAGAAAGGTTCATGTATCAGTTTGACTTATTGTCCACATCATGTTTGACAGTAGGATTAAAAAAAATTATATGCATAGTTCTTAGAATATTCACACTGCGGAGAGTGTCAGGACCATTCGTCTTTTTTTATAGTGTCAATTTAGTAACTATCTTTGAAACCTCTGCCAAGGACAAACCTGTACAACAACTTTCTATCTGACAGAAGTGTGTGCGTTTGTTTTAAAATTAGTTTGTGTTTTTAGCAGTTGAATCCCAAAGTGTCCAGACACTGTATGGCCTGTGTTGTCAGTTTAAAGTTTTATGTTGCCTTGAACTGATGCCTAATGGTAGTTATTTTAACGATAAATAATTTAATTTTTTTTAAGGCTTCATAGTTCTCATTTATTTCAGTTCTAATAATTTACCTAATTTATTTACTATAGCATAACTGACCTATATATCTATGCCTCAGAGCATATTATGAATACTTTTGAACCTGAAAACATTTTACAGGCTCTGATTATGGTAAAAAGCCCTAAGGTTATGGCCATTAAAATTACAGACAAAATCCCTGTGATAATTAAAAAATAAAAATGTGCCAAGGCTTATATTAGATTTAGTTGTTAAGCTAATGGAAATAGTCAGGCTTTAAGGCTATCTTAAAGGTCTGCAAGCAGAACAATCGACAAAGCCTGTCTTTAATGCTGCAAACAAACCAAGTACTGAAACAAACCAAGGGTGTATTTGATCCTATGTACTTTACATGTAACCATGTAGTATAAGGATCATGTCAGCCAAGTTGTTAAACTGTTAAGACCTTAGTTATATAAGGCAGGAAATCCAACATAATGAGAAAACTGTATCACCATAGTGGATCTCCTACAGAACGCTGCCTAAACAAATAATCTGTATTGAAACTCTAATAAACTGGACTGTTACTTCATATGAGTTGTGTTCTATTGGTTCACCGCAAAAAAAACCTGAAACAAATTAATGAAATGATATAAAAACGACGCCCATTGACACTGTTGGTACTCCACACTGATTATATGCAAATAACACCAGGTTCTATTAATATAATCCATTAACAAATGCTTACATATAAACACAATATAATCCTTAATTTCCTCTAGTGAAACAATAGTGGTTACAGTGGCATAAAAATGTTTAAATATTTAACCATATGTACATACACATATAAATATATGTATATACTGTATATATATACACATGTATAAACACAGGCATATATTTATACACATACATGTATATATATATATATATATATGTACATATATTAGCATATTTACACTTATCCGTTACCGGGTCGCGGGGGCAGCAGTCGCCACCCAAATCACATTGCACCGTACCAAACCTTCCTGCGGGTGGTGAGTCCACTGGAAGGTACCAACCGCCCTAACCGGGATTCGAACTTGCCCAGGAGGTGAACCCTGGGGTTCCACACCAATGACAGAGACATTGCCTCTGGGCCAAAGCGCCACCATACATATATGTGTTTTACATATACCTATATGTACTGCACATACAGACACATATACATCTATTATGTATGACTGAAATTTACTTTACTTTTACTCTCCTTACTCAATTAGAATTAAGTGAATTTTGAACAAATACTTTTGCGCAGTCGCCTCTCCTTGGTCTGGCTGGTGAAGATCAGTGGCACTTATTTTCAAATCACTTACTGCACATTTAAATGAACAGCAAAAGAGATTTAAAAACTTTACTTTAACAATAAACCGCCAACAGTCTTTTATATAAACGCAGGTCTAAGTTAAAGTGCCCAGACACACGACGGTGTGTACAGTATGTTGTTGTTGTGGTTTTCACTTACTTTGGAACAAGACCGGAGAACAGACTGTGTCAACATAAAGACACTTGTGGTCATGTAAAAACACTGTGTGTGTCTTTGTCACCTCCACTGTGTCAGTGTTAGCAGCAGGACTTCTTTTTCTCTGAGGGGTTGCTAAGCAGATCCACTGTCTTTTCCTTCTCTCGATCCTCTTGCTCCTTGAGAATTCTGGGGAAAGTAATGATATATATATAGGAATAATCAGTACACTGCTATAATATAATTTTTTTTAAAGAAGAAATGACTGATGCAAAATAAGGTATTCATATTTTCCAGAGGATGACACAACATCACCACCAATTTATAGAAAAGCAAGTTTTTGCACTTTATAGTGAAATATTAGATGTTTTTCCTAATTATGACCATATCTAATCACAAATAATCATGATTAATAAAATACTTTTCTGTATCCTGCTGGAACAGAATACATAACAGTAGGTAAATCAGTGTTTGACATCTGGTTTTATTTGTTACTATTTAACAGAATAGAATTATAATGTGAATTAATCCACTTATTAATGTACGTACTGTAACTGTAATTAACATATTACATTTTGCAGGCCCATGTAATATTACGTTTTATTAACTCACTGTTTGACAATGAGCCAGAATTGTGAATGGAGTATAGAGACATAAGCTCACCTGGCTAAATGTACCATGGATTTGACCACATTGTGGCCAGAGCGTGCACTGCACTCAAAGAAGGCCAACTGCCAATTCTAAAAGAGTTAAAAAAAAAAGAGACAATAAATAGAAAATAAACAATTTAATAAATAGTAATTATTACTATTAATTAATATTAATATTAATTAATATTATATAAAATGTATGTTTTATAATATATATGTAATATTATTATCAATGTAATAAATAGTAAATGTCATAGTAAATAGAAAATGACATAGTACACAGCAGTACACAACACATGAGGAGATCAGTGTAAAAACCTTACGACAATATTAAACAAAACTGACACCAGACCTTGGCCAGTCGTTCACCAACTGATTTCTGAACTTCTCTCTCAGTTTCCTTGTCTGTTTTGTTTCCCACCAGCATGATGGGAATATCCTCACCTGCACTCTCCTGCGACAAAAAGCAAATATTCATCAGACAGCACAACTAGGACATTGGCTTATCTCTGTTTTTTAAAGTATCAGCAGAAAACCATATTCACAGTCAATTATAATTTCTTTTCGATGGACTTCTGATGGGTAATGTACCTTTACACTGGTCAGCCACTGTCTAACAGCTGAGAAACTCTGCTCAGATGTGATGTCATACATTACAACCACAGCGTCAGCTTTACGAAAGAATTGTTTAGTGATGCTACGATATCTGCAGAAAGAGGAAAAGGCAGGTTAAAAAAAATCACTTGTCATTGCTTCATCACAGATCCTTGCATCTAAATGCAAGACTAACTTTAATATACACACACATATGTATAAATACATATAAATATATACATATACATGTGCATAAATACATACAAATATGTACACATATATATCAATCAATCAATTAGGCTAGAAAAAAATATAGAGGTCTATCAGTACTGAAAATGTGTTGTGATTCAGCAGTTGAAAGATAAAGTGTAACCAAACATTAAGATCAGAAATACAATGACTCATCAGAAATACAATGACTCTTCACAAAAATCAGACAAAAAGTAAATGTCAAAAACATTAGATTCAATGACAGACTTTTTCTTCTCCTCACCTTTCCTGTCCCGCTGTGTCCCACATCTGTAGTGCCACCAGGCTGTTGTCCACTGGTATCGTTCTTACGCTGTAGTCTATACCTGCACACAAGAAAATATTGGAAGAGAAAAATATGTAATGTATTTAATATGGCAAGCACATTATTTATATTTTAAAAGATCATAATATGTTGAAAGATACACATTTTATACAGGAAAAGGAAATTAAAGTAAACCACAATAATGTGTGTTTTTATGGTTCTTTACACACAACCCATCAAGAGAAGAGTTTGTGCAAAGATGAGGAAGTCTCCAGAACAGTCACACATCTTTGATTCATTTTATGATATCAAAACATGTCGATTTTGGTATTTAAAAAAAATCTCAACAGGTGTCACTAAAAGAACTGGACCGAGACTGTTCAGCAAATGTTTACTGCCATTGTAACTCAAGTGTGAAGCAGCCTTACTCTGCTATAGACTTAGTTACTTCCTAATCCAGCAAAGTGTTTCCCATCTTCCCAGTCAGCTTCGCTTGCTGCGACAGACAACTCTGTCATTTTCTGTCAGTTTATGAATATAAAGTACTCACCTACGGTGGCAGAAGTGCCGGAGTGGAAGCAGTCATCACAAAACCGTTGAAGGAGGGAAGTCTTTCCCACACTTGAGTTGCCGACCAGAATAATTTTGAAGAGTCGGTCAGGAGGATAGACACCAATTTCCTCCTGAGAAGAAAAGGGAATGATGGGAGTAGGGAATGTGGAGTCCCTTAAAAATAAGCCATGATGCAGCAGACTCCTATTTTAACATTGTCCTATTTTTTCATGTGCTTGCCTTTACACTGGTCTCTTTGACAACAGACTGAGTTTCTCCTTCCTCCATGTTCCCTTGTGCAGAGGAGTCAATGTCACTCATCACCAAGTCTACGGTGTCCTCATATCTGGAGGTCTCCTCTCCTTCACTGCACTCCTGTAGAGGCGTTTGGACTTGGCATTGACCGTAGAGTAAGTGTGGGAGGTGGTCCTCCTCGATGGAGATGATCCTCCGGAGGTGTGTCTTCCTCTCTGAAGGGCAGGACAGCTGACACGACCCGTTGTGCATACCAGAGCTGGTGATCTGCTCATCCTCCTTGTCCACACTGATAATGCAAAGCACATGCAGCATAATGCCATCATTTATATATATATAAAATTAAAATTCTAATCGGAGATCCTTTACCTTGTAAAGACACTTGAGTTCATTTGTTTCACCAAATTTATGAAAGGCTTCTGCTTCACACCGTTTGGATTCTGCAAAATTGTTATGGAACAATGTTGAATGTGAAGCAAATTAGTTTCAGAACAATGATGTTAAATACTCTGGAGATTAAAACAGACCTACCTGGAAGCACATGTCTCTTTCATCTCTTAAATGTTTGTTCATTTCCCTGAATTCAAAAAGAAAGATTAAAATAAATGTATTTATATATAGAAAGTACTGTTTAGCAGAGTTGATTCGAGGAAGATCAGCCCAAATCTAAGTCCACAACAAACTCTGTCCTGCAGTTTGTTTGGTATAGTTGACTGATTTTATTTTTATCGTAATATTTATATTATTATCATTTTTATTTATAATATTTGTTTTGCTCAATCAAATAGTACATGTGTGTAAACGAAAGGCAGAACAGTGAAATAGTGAGGTTACAAGGAGCAGAGGTGGTGAAGGTGCAGGAGTTCAGGTACTTAGGATCAACTGTTCAGAGCAGAGGAGACTGTGGAAGAGAGGTGAAGAATACCAGCCATGATGTATGGTTTAGAGATGGTAGCAATAGGCAGAAGACAGGAGGCGGAGCTGGAGGTGGAGGTGGCAGAGTTAAAGATGCTAAGATTCTCTGTAGGAGTGACAAGGATGGACAGGATCAGGAATGAGGTCATTAGAGGGACAACACAGACAGGAAGGTTTGGAGAAAAAGCTAGAGAAGCCGGATTGAGATGGTTTGGACATGTGCAGAGGAGGGACAGTGGATACATTGGTAGAAGAATGTTAGAGATTTAGCTACCAGGTAGGAGAAAGAGAGGAAGGCCAAAGAGGAGATATATGGATGCAGTGAGAGAGGACATGCAGATAGTTGGAGTCAGAGTAGAAGATACAGAGAACAGGGAGAGATGGAAATCAATGATTCGCTGTGGCAACCCCTGAAAAAAAAGGGATAAAGTCGAAAGAAAAAGAAGTTTTGCTCTATCCCGTCCTGCAAAACCCACCCTGGGATTGGTGACTAGCTGAAACCCCTAACCTTCTGAATGGTAGGCTTTAATATTGTTGTGCTGAAAGCCTTTTGTCTAAACCCTGATATTATATGACATCTGTAAATTATATAATATAACCAACCACAGTGACAGCATATTTAACACACTACATAAAGAATACCTCAAGAGGTCCAGTTGTTTGAGGAGGCTTGCTCTTTCCCGCTGCAGTCCTTCAGTCAGTCTGTATATTTCCCTGTGTTTAAAAAGACATCTTACTGCATGTACTTACTTTTAAGCACTTTTGTTCTGTGACTAGGCTACGAGTTTCAAATGTTGGTTATACACAAAAATGACAAAGTAGGATTTTCTATGAATTTTCTGTGTCAACTTTGTGATTGATTGTCACTATTCAAAGTTAAAGGCACTACTACAGTAGCACATACCGCAGGCTGCTGTGTAACTGACCTCTCCTTCTCTTCATGCAGTTGTGTGGACTGTTCCTGCAGCAGACTCAGTTGCTCCTGGGCTAGGATCAGATCTTGGCTGCTTTGCTCCAGTTCCATCGTCAGCTCATCGTTCGTCTGCTTCAGTTTCACATTCTCCACCTTTGTTACATGTTGCTCGCTGCGGAGGTCGTGACACTGACGCTCCAGCTGGAGGAGCACATTTACATCTTCTTTCACCAACTGACTATGTTTACTGTCTGCATGCAACTAAAACTTTAGTGGAACCAAATTAGCATGGAAGCAGTAAATGAACTCCAGCATTCTAAACTTTATAGATGTTTTCAGTTAACATTTAACTTACAGCTATGGTTCCCAAAGTGGGGGGCAGATACCTTATTGGTCATAGAAATGTGGCGGGAGGCCCAAGCAAGCAAGTTCAATTTTGAGTTATTTTCATTTGTTCAACTATATACAATTACAGTTTGAATTTGAATTGAGTGGAAATTTAAAGTAAAAGCTGCAAATGTTTCCAGGTGTCCGTGGCGAAAATTTTTTTATTATTAAAACATAAATGTGGGTTGTTTTTAATCTTGTTTGGAAAAAATCATCACAGAATTACACAGAATATGATAGTAATTTGAGATTTGATAGTGATTTGATTTGAAGTAATGTTTGCTAAAAGAAATAATCGCTAAAATTATCTTTACAGCTAACCATTACTTTAACTAAAGCATCAATCATACAATATTAACACTAAGACTAGGACTAAGATTAAATGTTATAATGCTTATTGAAGAAACTGTGGCTTCAAATGTAAAACTGTCTGTTTTGGTGACTGGAAAAGTACACAAGATAATATTTTCAACAAAAAAGAAAACCTGACAACACCAACATCTCTCTTTAAGCGTCCACTTCCTGACACCTTTCACTGACCATTCTCTGTTTCTGGAAGAGTTGTTCCAGCTCCTTCTCTTTGCTGCACAGCTGAAGCTCTAGGTCTTGACTCTGGGACAGGAATCGCTTATAGTCCTTTGGGGCAATAAGAAAAAAAAAAAAACAGGAAGCAAAGACTTGATAATTTTGAGGAACAGACAGCAAAGCAATATTAATAACTGAGTAGTTACCTGTAAAGCTATTTTGTCTTTTTCATTCTTTATCTGTTGCTCCATTTCTTCATACAGACGCTGGATCTCACTGTCATGTGTTAGTGCTTTTCTATGGAAAATGACACATAAGCAAATACTTTGAGTTCATTAGCATTAATGTGCTTTTCATGTTTTTTGCCTGTGGAACTTCACAGTAACATTGATTCAAATTGCAAAAGTAGATATTTAGTAAAAAAAAAAATTGCTAAAAACCTAATGGAATGAACAGAAACCAAATGTTACTCCAACTTCACCTTTGAAGTACAGTCTCCATCTCCCACTTCTCCTGGTTGACCGCTTTAATTTGAAATGTAACTCTGGCTAAGAAGTCCTCAAAGTTGGATAAAAGATGTGGTTCATCCCGTCGCAGCTGGGTCCACAAGCTGTGCACTTCTGCTGGACTGAATAAGATCGAGTTAAACAGCGTCAGTAATCCTCTGCAATACGTTAACTCATTCTACTAGAACTGGCATCTGTCATTCATAATTTAAAGTCAAAAGAGACATTTTTCCACTTTTAGAAGAAGAAGAAAACAGAAAAGAAAAAGAAAACATGTTGAAGATATTGGGCTGCTTCAGTCAGTAACTTTTTTTTTCAGTAAGTTTTTTCATTTTTACCCCGATATGAAAAATGGTTAATTAATAGAACTGACTCAAAAATTTGTGAATATTAATATGGAATAAGGATGATTACATACAAGACTGCTGGAAAAGAAGAAAATGGCCAGCAGAGGGAGTGCTCAAGAACGTTTATTTCACCTTGGAAACTTCTATCTGTTGGTGGGTTTGTACAGCTGATTCAAGTCTCAGGCTTAAAATACAGTGGAGGCTTTAAAGGAAATGTTGACTTAGGGTAAAGATAGGACACACTGAGACCTAGACACAAACACACACACACACATAACTCACTCTTCAAACACACTGATGGCTCCGAGGCGCTCCATGAGCATGCAGAAATGCTTCTGGTCTTCATCAGCATCTTCTCTGTCCAGACTTTCCTGCCAGTGGGTCTGATACAGAACCTCTGGTGGGTTTTTAACAGCTGTAATGTCTCCCATATCGGACACTGCAGGAAACGTCTGCCCGGATACAAATGAACCTAACAAGAAAAAAAAAAAACATTGTACATCACGCTACACTATTTTGTACAAGAGTTATCATTAATTACTTTGTGCAGAAATGGGTTGAAAACATACTAAATCCTAAGGAGAACTCTTCAAAGGTAAGGTATCCATTGGCGTCTGAATCAAGAGTATCAAAAACCCTCTCCAGTTCCTCTGGACTGAGAGGCAGCTCACCATTCAGCCTCTGTTTAAGAAGACACAAAACACAGCTGCTGTTGGCATGACGAGTGTAACCACCATCTCATGACAATTACGAAGGCATGAATTTAATTGAATTAGACAGAAAATGTCATTTAGCCATGTAGTTAATGATACTATATATAGCAGCAGTTTCAAACCCCTGGCCCAGGTACCACATTTGGCGCGTAAAGCCCTCAGATCTGGCCCCCGCGTTGTTGTCAATAATAGTAGTTTTTTTTGTTTTGTTTTTTTTTTGCTTTAGTTGATTATTTAATCAAACCAAACCATTTGTTTTATATTTGCTACACAGGAGTCATAGAGAAAAACTGAAATGATTTTTATGTTGATTAAACATCCTATTTAAAAAAAATACAATTTTCTGGGGGGTTAATAAATCAGGTTTTATAGAGTTAAGAACAGCAAAACTGTAAAAAATAATATACAGTATTTACTTATTTGACTTTGACACTCCTGATCTACAGGTACAGGTGTATTTAACACAGTCTTCAGGTGTCCAGTAAAGGTCTTAAGGCTGAGAACTACAGAGTAAGTCTAGTCTTAAATGAATGACTACTGGGCTGGGCCACTGACAAACACTGGTTACGTAAGGGTTTGGGTGAGTCAATGTGTGACCCTCCTTTCTTTACAGAGAAGCCAACAGAGGCCAACCTCAACAGGCAGCTTGTTTTTTTTCCCACTGTTTACACTGCTGTGAATGTTGACTGATACCACCCATCACAATCAAAGCAAAGAGAAGGGCAAGAATAATACCAGTGTTCCAGAGAATCAGCTGCTCTTATAAAAATTTGTTATCTTGGCCGAACATACACTGACAAGCAGCAGAAAAGTAAAGCTGGTCTGTGTCATTTCATCCATTATTTGTACTCTTTTGGACAATTAATATTAGAGAGCATTGATCAAAGAATAAACAAAAAAAAAAGGTTTTTTTGAACCTTGATAACTGGTGCCTAATGAAATGTCATTGACAGACAGATCGTTTGACTTTGACACCCCTACTGTAGAGTATTTGATAATGAGGAAATTGCAGCATTTACTGTATTCTAATTTTACAAATGTACAATCTTGATCTTGGTATTTAACCTGTATGCAGAAATTCAGATATTCATACACTTTGTCACATTTAAAAAATCTTTTGTCTTCTACTTGAGCACTTTTTGTGTTTGGTACTAAATTGTGTGACATCTTGAATATGGAAACTTTTTCTCCTGCTCTTTGAGCATTACTTCATAATATATTTCAAACAACATTAAATAAATTTGTTGTCTCCAAAATGTGGGCAGCACATGTGAAGAGATACATCTTGGTTTCAACTGGTTGGTTTCATAAAACATCACTGATTCCAAAAGTTTCTTTCTGCAGCTTGTGTAATTTAGTTGCTTTTTGGATATACAAAATATCAGTAGGAATTCAGATTTTTTTTTTATTTAAAAAAAATGCGTAAATTTCATAATCAGGTCGGCAAAGATCACTTTTGTGTTTGGGCTTTGGTTGTGTAACAAGCTCAGAGTGGATTCCTACTTTTAAACACACTCTGTTCTTCAGTAAGAGCTCTCAAGTGCAGCTCTGTCCCCACTCACCATCTAATTAGCAACTGATTATCATGGACACCTAATCAAAGACTCCCCTCTATGTGTTTATGCTCCGGCTCTCTTCACAGCGTTATCAAAGCCTCGGCCATTGTGATGATGAATATCTGAAGCACAGATGCAAATGTACAATATTGTGAGTGGAGGAGAAACGGGACAAAAACCTATGAATGGCTCTTTCATGATGTAAATGGAGCTCCTGTCCTACTCCTGTTCTGTTCAGAATTATTAATGAGTCCAGGAGAGGACAGTGGACTGGACAGACAAGGGGATAGCTGATAAATATTAGAAAATGTGGATGTAATGTTCACACTGGGCTAAAGATTGTTCCCATGACTTATTACATTAACTCTGACACCTACTAATTTACATAGAATTCTCTCTAATACAATCTTTACTGAAGTTAAATCAATAATTATTATCAAAGATTCTTCTAGAACCTTAACTGATCTACAGCTAGAATCTTTGGCTCAGCAGCCTCACCTGCATGTCCTGTCGGGTGATGTAGCCCTTGTCCTTGATGTCGCACATCTGGAAGAACTCGTGGGTTTTTTCCTGGATAGTGTTCTGTCTCATGTCCCCCTGCTCACGTTTCCCCTCTTTATTGCCGTCCTCTTGCCTCTGCTGTGTAGTCTGGACCACGGCGCCGGCGGTAGTGTGGGCTGGTGGTGTAGCATGAGGAGCAGTAAAAGCTGCCATGGTCTCTGAGCGATTGTCAATACAAGACTGGTCCCTGGTCCTTCACATGAGCCACACAGAGGCAGAGGTGTGGAGAAAAGACATCCCACAAAAGTAGAGTCTCGGGCTGCTGTAGATCAGAGGCTCTGGCCACTGCCACAGTCCGTCCTCTCTTAGCAACCCTCCTCCTTAACTAGTCAGTGACACGTTGGAGAGAGACACGTAATTTTCAGATTATATTACATGTAATTTATCTATATTATATGATAGTTTACTCAAAGTATGTCTGGCAAAAAATTCAAAATAGGGAGCAAAAATGATCCTGTAATGAGTCTCATTTAACAGATTACAATTAAAAACTCACCAAAGATACTGGTACAATTGAAACCAAATCAACCGCAGAACACCGAGCCTCCTCTTCTACACTGGCTTCTTATCTCAAGATTCACAGTTAATGAACCTAACAGAGTCTAATGTTAGCTGACAAGCAAAGACCAACATCAAATTTAAGGTTAGGTTGTGGTATTTGAGAGTGGTCCCGCTTGCGTGGAATTATTGACTCATAAAGGTCTAGTGATGGGTTTAAAGAAGGTTGAAGTTCCCCTGTCCACTGGTCTGGAAGACTGCTTGTCATTGGCTGCGGTGCATCATGCATGAGCTCAGACTGTTGATGAAACCTGTGTGGGACAGGGAAAGTTTATACGAGTTTGGTCAGGTTAAAAGTCAGAGATGTCTTTAAAGTTGAATTAATTCATTTACATTTTAAATAATTTTCATTCATTTTCAGTGCAGTAGAATTTAGAAAACCTATTTATATTTCAGGTGAGACCTACTTAAGATAATTCTTGGCTAATTCTTGTCATATCTGGATATTTTGCTATTTTGCTGATCTAAGTAATAACTGACTATTTATTCATTATCTTTTTTGGAATTTTTGTGGTTGACTTTTGACAATTTTTAGACCTTGTTTTGGATAGTTAATCTTGAGAAAAATAACTTTTAAATCCTAGTGTTGCCACATTTTAATTCTGGCTTATACCTAATACTAGTGACTGTCTGGCAAACATTAGAAAAATAAACCTTTTTTTATTATTATCTTGACCAATGTCTCGACCCCCTTTTTTAGAGGCCCCCAACAAATATTAAAATATTACTTTTTATGAAGGTCAAACCTCAGTGAGAAACTCTGGTTCGGTCCCTTTTTCTGCTTTATTTTGGCCAGAGATCAAGTTTTTGTCTCGCTAAATACCATCTAATCTTCACAGACAGTTCCACTGGACGAAACCCAAACAAAGTTTTATGGCTTCTCTGTTCTAACTTGGTATCAGATGTTAAGACAGGTGGCCAGCGACTGTAGATTAAGTCACAGGGACATCATTAAAAAAAAAAGAAAAAACAGATGTCATCCAAACAGATAACTAAATGGTAAAGCATTCTGTCCACAAACCACACCTGTCACATGATGTAAAACTTACAATCTGTTTTTAAAGTACTTTTTGTCTGTAACTACAGTGTGGAAAATAGTACTTGTTGTTGAATATGAATTTGAACATATTTGAAGAAGTAACTGACTGTACTGCAAACCAATGAACTTTCCATGTCATAACAAACACAGGTTTGCCTTGCTCCTCACTTTATTTATCCCCTCTGTAACCTGTGTAGTTCAACCATCAGTCTTATTTTTTTGGTATCCCAGACAGACTAGCAAAACCACCTACAGTAAAATTATCTCATCATAACTTTAGTCTCGCACTCAGTGAATCCGCATAGTCACTTTAGTCTCGCACTCAGTGAATCCGCAATAGTCACTCTTTACATTAAATACTTTGTCTCAGAACTTACATCAAAAGTAAAAACAAACAAACAAGCTGTTTCAATCAGAGCATTATTTTGGTGCTTTCTTTCTCTTTTTTTTCTTAATTTGTTCTTCTATGTTTCTTCTTTTTTTGTGAAAGAAAAAAGATCTGGATAGTCGATCAAAACCTGTTGACATTTTCTTTGTGCAAACTGTTGCATTCCAGTTTGGTTAATGTTTTTAAACGTAAAAACATTAACCAAACTGGAATGCAACAGGTTTTATTATTGTTTGTTTTTACTTTTGTAATGACTGTGCAATTTGTTTTACATGTCACGGAAAAAATTACGGTTAACCAAACTTCCTGCAGAGTGGTCACGTACGAGACAGTCATCAGTGACATGCAGCTAAAGGCAATGTCAGTAAAATAATCAAAGGACGTTTGCATTAAAACGACGGTTTCATACTCGACATCTACTGTTGTGAAACATCCTGTTGCAGATAGAGCATTTCAAGACGTTTCAACAGTTTTTGATAACAGAGAACTTCCTCAAAACAGCCAACAGAGAACAGCTAACAAGCACAGCAGCAAACTAACAACCAGCACTAACAAGTCCCTGCAGCTAAAATAGTGACAAAGTTAGGTACGTACCGCGGACTCAGACGTCAAATTCAGCTGTACGACCTCCTCTGACAGACTCTTAGGTGGAACTTCATGAGCTGACACTTTACAGAGTCCAGTGATAAGAGTGGAAGTCCGGAGGAATTTGACCGAACGCTGACGGAGCACAGCCCGGCGGAGGAGGGACTTCATCCTCGGTAACCAATGGCTACAGGGGCTACAGGGGCTAACAGGGGCTAACAAGGCAGTTGGTCAAGTGTTCTGTCTTGTTTTTGCCCCTCAAGTGCTCTGTTCTCAATCAAAATAAAATTATACTCCAGATGTAAACACTTAAATATATTATAAAAGGCAGCAATGAGAGAGGCAACGAGGATGTTCTAGACACTAATTGTTATTTTTCCTCGGATGAATGAATGAATAAAGGTGATAATCAATACATTTCAGAGAAAGTCTTAATATTAAAATATTACCTCGGTCAATTCACTTGAAAACCATTTTACATTCATATATAATGTTATTGTAAACTCAAAGGATAAAAAATAGGTTTGGAACAATGTGTTGATTTTCTGTTTTTCATAATGAAATGCAATCAATTTCTAATTAAACCTATTTGTGTTTATCTTTGTTGCACTTTTTTATGTTTTCTTCCTCTTTTGTTTTTCTTCCTTCCATATTTTGTCTTTATTTTTATTATTTTTTATTGAAACTGTAAAATATAGAAATCCTTCAATGTGAAATGTTGCTTCGTTTCTCTATTACGTCTTAGTAAAGTGAAGTCCATTGTTTCAGTATTATCATTAATAGCATTGTTTAAATAAACAAAATAAATGTTTTTTTTTTTATCACAGAGTCGTTTGTTTTGTGCAGAAGCAGAATGACTCAGCGGAAGTATTTACTTTACTCTCTGTAGTCCAATATTTGTTACAATAGTTTATTGATATGCCCTTTAGTGCAGTGGTTCTTAACCTTGTTGGAGGGACTTAACCCCACCAGTTTAATTTGCACATTCACCGAACCCTTCGGTGGCGGCCAAGCGGGGGCGGTGTCATCACGAAACATATGAGTCGGGTGTGTGTCTAGACCTCGGCCGAACCCCTGAGACTGACACACCGAACCCCTGGGGTTCGATCGAAACCAGGTTAAGAACGATTGCTATAGTGAATACCTGGCTGTCTGTGGATGTGCCAATGCTGGCCAGATGAGGGCAGTATAGGACCTTCCATTTAGTTAGCGCTGATTCCCACATAAACCAAACACTAATATTTAATCTTGTATAATATATTGTTACGTGTATTGATCCTTCAGATTTCTGTGAATTTTCTGACTGCTCTATTTGGGAAAAAGGTCAAATAAATGTAATGAATAGTCAGTAATAAAACTGTTTCTCAGTGAAGAGAATCACAGCAGGTGTAAACCTCTGTCCCAGTTCACAAGTGTCACAGTTTAATAAATGTTCCATATGTGTGATAGTGATGAGTTCCCTGGAGCTCGGACTGTCCCTGTGTTCACTTTTTTTTTAAGGCTGATTTTCAGCATACAGATGTACAGCATGCAACCCAATGCTCCAGTTGAGTTTTAACAGCCAGATGTGTTTCCACTGGCAGAGAACTGACTACGGACCATTTGGAAACCAGTCAACGGGACAAAATATAGTAAACCCTCATTTGTTGTAAAATCCTGTTCTTTCTTCACCTTTATAAAAAAGCAGGAAACTCCTATATAAACAGGTACATTCTATGCAGCTGAGTAAAGATCCCTTACTAAACAACCTCAAGGACCCGTTTTCTCCACTCAGTAGAAGAACCAGGCCATTATAGCAAGCATGAAAAGACGTCTGATTTCAGCACACGCTGGTTTGATGCCTTGAAAGGCTTGAAGATGCACTGTGGGACTTTTATTCAGATGTGAATGTTGGAGCAGGAAGAGTGTGGTTAAGGTCTTAGAGTGCTCTCTGTCAGTCCATTGGTCTTTTACTGCCTCAGGAACCACATGTGGCTGGGTCAGAGACGTACCAGCAGCTGGTCATGTACGTGTGGACTGTTCTTCCTGTCAAAGACATGATTTCCACTGGATCATCATTGCCAAAAGAGGGTTTTCTTTGTTTGTTTGTTTGTTTTTTGTCATTTAGACATATACTATATTTTGTCCCTTTATATCTGAATCAAACAATCTTGATCAGACCAGTAAACAAACAGATACAACGATCCCTACACCCAGGGCACCAGGTGACATGAGTGAGACTAATGAACAGAGACACAGGTGAATGAGATCACACTGATTAACCCCACACAACAGGAACAGGGAACAGACAGACCTCACCTTATAGTCTGGAAAACCTAAGGATTTTATGTGTTTACTATACACATGTTTCTCTGAGCAGTAACATTATAAACCATACACAATTTTGATGCTTATGGTACTGTAGGGCAGATATGGTACTACTAACTAAAATTATATTTAACTAATAAATCAAAGAATACATTTATAATTATAATCCCATTTGCATACTACTACTACTACTACTATAATACTATAATAATAATACAGGTATCCCAAATATACCAGCCTCACATTACTTTACTTTTCAGGTAGAAAAAATATTTTTACATAATTAATGAAATGATGGAATCTAGTTCCAAACTAAATATTTATAGTAACTACACACATCACAGTAATGATGTCAACCAGTGAAATAAAGATCCAAATTACCTTTTATATTATATTATCTTTTATATTTTTTGACATGTAATATCGCAGGTTTCGAGCTGTCATAAGTGAAAGCAAACAAAGACAAACTCACACTGAGCATGAA